TCCAAATTTTGCATTGCAGCCTTCCATCATAAAATGTCTGAAACTAATTCCTATATTTCACAGTGGGGTGCTAACTGATCAGTACTTGAATCTGTCATCGCGAATTTTCATTACAGACTTCAGACCACTGTAACAACGTTAATCCCACTTTTTCGATGCCGGAAAGTGCGTTAAGGTGAAATGACTCAAGATATTCACGGAATTATAACACTAAAGAAGGCTACCGCTACGTTTTTGACAGGAAGTTCTCTGTCTATCGTGCCGTGAAATATAGTTACATGCCATGTGGATCTTTGAAGGTATTTTTGTTAAACCTTTCGACCTTTTAAATGATCCCTATTAAAGGACTAGATGACGAGCTTGCAGTAGTAGCGGTGTCTCCTTCCTAAAAGGAAAAGCCTTCAAACAAACATTTAACTACATTACATCACATTTTAATAGAGTACAGTTTATTGTCTATTAATTGTCTCCCGCTGACTTTCTAGACTGGCCGTGAGAGAGCTGAAGTATACTTCGATATTGAGTTGTTTCGACAAGTATTATCGTCTATCAGTCACTGAATAAAGTCGCAAAAACAATTCCTGTAGCATGCAGAGAATCGTTCGTGAAGGTAGCCATAGAAAAGCTATCAGTGCTTGGATTCCAGACACATTGACTGGAAAGCTCAATACCTCGGTCGCGAATCGCACCGATGTACACCAGCGCAGTGATTTTGTATCGGGCACTGAACAATAGTTTGACATCATTTTCCATTGCTTTACTTATTTTGCGGCACTTTTCACCGCAAATGACAGGATTGAATTCCCACTTGTCTAGGTGAGAGAGCAATATTTGGCGAATAAGTTCTCGAATTCTTGAGTGAATAACGCTTGATTTAAAATCTCTGTAATCCAAGCCGCAGGTTTGAGACTCCTTGTTAAAACTGGTTTGTTTATCTACAGTTTCCGCTCCCCTGCTTAGAACACTGTCTTTGCCGTCAAATCCTTGACGTGTGCTGGCGCGCAACTTGAACGAAGGCACATTTACAGTGGAAATACGACGGGATTCCTCTTGATAATGAGTGGTTTCTCGCAGGTTGAAATCGTCGGCCATTCCAGGAAACCCGGCGCCATCGACAGTCTTTAAAAGCTCTTTCTCTGTATTAGCAGTATGTACTCTCCGTAACTTTGACCTTACAAGTCCTCCAACGGATTTATTCAGGCCTCTAAGTCGCGACACTGGGCTTGAACCGGGTTTTGCGTTCATTATCACCACTTATCTCCCGCTTTTCGTCAATAAAAAAACGCGATTGGATCAAAGAACGAGACAAGCATCTAACATAAGTTGACCGACTTAGGAGCTTTATCAGCAACGTAATAAGCTTGTTATGTTTACATTGAGTCTCGATAAACTGTCTTCAACATATTGGTGTGGTATAAATTATCATTTGAGCTTTTTAACTCTGTCAGATGTTGTTCATTTGATTGGCATATGGTGATCCTAATATAAAACGCTCCCGCGCCGCAAAATCTACAGTTACCAGGGTCTCTCCTCATTACTTCCCCAGGGTCCTGGTACGAGATTGGCGCCAAACGAAATTAAAGTGGCCTGTCTTCGACAACACAGATCGCCCAGAATCTTTGTTGATCCATTGCAGTAGACCACTTTGTCTTTGTATGATTTGTTCTCCAAACGTATGTGATGATATATTTTCAAGCGAATTCGCTTTTTGCCTTTATATGATTTGTAAGTACATTTGAAAGTGAATGTAAAGACGAAATTGAAAAGGAACATCTCTCTACAGTCATGTGCTCCTGCTAGAGTTTAAAGGGTGTCAGCGAAATGTATACCAGCTAAACTGTCTACACCTGTTTATTATTTTACGCCTCTATTTTAAGCGTTATACGAGTCAGTAACATCTAGCTGAGCCAGCTGGCTGAGCTTATCTCATTTATCACGAGAGAAAGGAGTCGGCTTTCCGTTTTGTATTTCTTTCCTTTTCCCTTATCTCTAAAGGCTATTCCTTTTATGGGCAGGATGAAGTCAAACAATGAAACTTAACCGCGACTGCCATCATTCGGTCTCTGAAATGACCTATTTTGAGCCCTTACTGAACATACTAAATGATGCTGTTGATCAGAAGGGGAACTGGGCGGGGGTTGAAATTAATTAAATAAAACAAATGAGTGGGCATTGTCTTTCCAGTTCACAAAAACGATAATAGTGGGCATGAAATCAGTATGATTCGCATTGAATAGCGGGTGCCCTGAGGGCTTTTCAATGAGCTGAACGACTGGACGTCGCTACAGCTCGAAATCAGTAATAAGCCCTTGGGATATGTGAATTTCACCAAAGCTATTATAGACAAATTAAACGCTCGAAATTTATCTGAAGATGGTTTTTCGGAGAGGTCTTCAAACTTTTATTCAGTGTTTTCGCATTATTCTCTTTTGGTTTAATTCGTTGATTCCCCCCCATGAACTTAATGAACAATTAATGAATGAGGCTGAGTATCTTATGAAGAATTTTGGAGACCGAGGAGGGTGTTACGGCCTCGACTGATAACACTCTCCGAGATCTCCATAATTCTTCATGATACGAAAGTCGAATTCAATAATTGTTTTATTATTCATTCAAAATGATTCCTAGTTTAAAATCATAGCTAAAACATACTTACCTCCATCGATGTTAAGTTCATCTTCGATAGTGTACGTTTAGGTTTGTCCAGCTCAGAAAAAAAATTCTCCAAATAGAGGAGATGTCGCCCTTCGAGTTGTCTTCTTGCTGTTCTTGCCATGTTTTTAGCTATTAGGGACTGTGCAATAATTATCAGGAGGGGGGGGGGCCTAAAACCAGAGGGGGGGGCCTTAAGTTAAAATAATGGAAAGGAGGGGGGGCTCTACATTAGATTCTCAAGTAAGT